CTTATGGAACTTTTAACAAACCAAAACAGAAACTTCAAGCATCTTTGAGTGCTGTGTCAGATGCTGATAGATTCACCAGGTGTACATACTTGTTTTGCTTCTTTTAAGAGTTTCCAATATAACTGAAGAAATAACACTAAGACTTCAGCGAGATTAACACAGAATGATCCCTGATGGCATACATGAATGAGTAGAAATGACTTAACATAAATATATGCATATGTACTTAATACATGTGAGTTCTGGCTTCACTATATATGATAGCATCATGGCCCTCAACCAAACATGGACTATACAAACCAGAGGGATAGTAGTCAATTTTTACATCTTTTTACTTGACTCCTAAGTGCTGTGGATTATTACCGACCTCTCCCTTTTTCTTGAAATAGGGTTTTCCATAACACTACAGTATTCTGATTCTTCTTTATTGTCTGTCCCCTCATAATATATTTTTCTATTTTTTCCAACTCTTCCAAGTTTCTCAAAGTTTGAGCATCCTAAGACTTGGATTTAGAATATCTTTCATTCTCCAGTTAAAAAAAAATAAATTCATTCTATATGTAATCTTATCTAAGATCACACAATTAAAAATCCTCTATTTGAGAATTATTCCCAAAATCATATCTCCATATCTCATTATCTTTTTTCAACCATTTATCTATTTTTCTTGATATATTACTTGACTATATGTCAAGTTATATCCAATTCAGAATCTTGATTTCCCCACTGAAAGTTTGTTTCCACTAACTCTTCTGCTTTAAGTAAATACGATTCTATCTATAGAGTTCCTAAAACCAAAGATAGATCCATAACCCCTAAATGGTGACTTCCTCCTCCCTACATCCAGTCTTTCAGAAAGTCCTGTTGACTCAACTTCCAAAACAGTTGACATCAGTTAAGTCCCTTCCACTTCTCTATCACTATCACTGTCCTAGTTATTATTAATCTCTCACCTGGACTATATCTTCCAACACACTTCCTTTTTTCCAATTTTTGTCTCTACAAAGCATTTCTAACAATTTAGGCAGATTAACCTTTTAAAAATTAAATAGGATCAGGCTAAAAAACACACTAACAATTTTTGCATTTTATGCTGAAGAAACCAAACCCACGTTTTTGCATGACCTATTAAGTTCTACATCATCTGATTTCTGACTAACTCCATGGCATCACCTCACATGATTTTCCTCTCATGTGCTATGCTCCAGCCACACTGATGTGTGGCTTGAACATGGTTAGGCTAACATGACCTTGTAACCTTTATAACAATGGTTCTGTCTGCCTGTCATTGTAATCTACACCTAATCATGACTGGTCAGTCGACATCATCCAGGTTGATTCTTCTAAGAAAGTTCATTGCAGGTATAATATATGTGGCAGCCATTAAAAAAGCTCTTTTCAGACTCCCAACAACAGGGAGACCTTGCTACACTGGCACAACACTCATGCCTCTCCCTGCCGATGATCCAGTTTTGTAGAGATACTATGCATGTACCTTCTCCAGAGTCTCAGAACTCCCTTGATAGCCCTCTGGGCTTGAAGACTCACTGTCAGTTTTGCCAAAACATACACTGCACAGCAGCCTATGAAATATTCATCCAAACTTCGTTCCTCATTCCTTCACTCAGGCTACTCTTGCATTAGGGTCTGTCACCTCTTCCAGCCTCATCTGTTTTTTCCCACACAGGCATTTGCACCTGGTAAAATACTTGTGCTATTACACTCTTCTTTGTGTTTGCTTCTCAAAGAACCAGGAGCAAAACAACCAGTATTTGATTTTGTGACATTAATGATTTTAAAAATATACAGGGCATCATTTTAAAATGACTTAGACTATTATATAATTCAGTCCCCTTAGCAACATTGTCCCCATTTTACATACTGAGAGCCGAGGCTCAGAAAGAACAAGAACTTACGTCAAGGATCACAATACACAGGAGTGGAAGCAGAATTTGCTTTCTAACTACAAACTCCACACTGTATCCATCACATTCCCTCCTCTATAGCAAGAAGGGTTTTGAGATTTCTAAGAAGACTAAAAACTCTACCATATTGCAACCAAATTATGCTCTGAGGGTTTGCATGTTGGTTCTGAATGACCCCAGGGTTATGCATTTAGTTAGGATGGACAGCATACTTAGCATTTTTATTATATATGACATTCTTCTCTGGCAGTAACACATATACTCTTTACATTATACTCTTTACATTATGCAAATTTACTTGCTTCTGGCCTCTCATTATTTTAGAGAATCAAGTCTACCAAAGGTCAGTGGTTTTGTCAGCAATAGGGTGCATGCTGGCAGTGGGACGTGACAAAAGCTCCAACCTGTTAGCAGTCATTGTCAGCAGAAGGCTATGATCCTATCCCTCTAGCCTGCAAAGGGCCATCTCACTCACCCTTCATACCACCACAGAAGAAAGAATTTCTCCTTTCTTTAATGTATGAAAGCTCTATCTACCCACTTCTGCAAATGCCCAGCGGAATGCTGCTGGCTGTTTGCACGGGTCATTTTATCAAAACTTTACTGCAAATACTTTTCATTTCTCTCAGTTCTCCACATCCCTGCACCAGCAGTCCTGCTTTTCCATTCTCATGGAGACTTAACAACTCTAAGGGACACTGGAAAGTGCAGCCACCAGCTCTCAAACCCTGAAACATTCAAAGTGACAGAAGTTCTCAGCACTACCCTGCACTGGGTACAAGTCCTTGTTTATTGTTTCGGAGGGATATTTACCATTCTCTTTGAAAAATCCCAGATCTACCCACTATCATAAAAACTTTTCACCACTTGTGAAGATTTTGTCTTCAATTTTACATTTATGTATATTAGCATTTGATATACATGCATAACAAGAAAATACCTGTTGAAAAAAATTATAATGTATGCATTTGCCCTGGTGGCTAAGCCACCAGCTGGGTTACCTGCATCCCCTATCAGACTGCAGGGTCTGTGTCCTAGCCTCATTTCTGATTCTACTCTAGCATCATGCTAATGCACATCCTAGGAGACATCAGCTAATAAATCACATACTTGAATTCCTGCTACTCACGTGGGAGATTTGAATTGAGTTCCCAGTTCCTTCCTCCTTCCCTCCTTCTTTAACTCTCTCTCTAGGTTCTTCCCCCTCTCTCCTACCCTCTCGCTCACTCTCTCTCAAATAAATAAAAACTTTTAAAAAGTGAGTGAAGAAAAGATACTTGATGCCAATATAATAGGGGCTGTATGGATCTGAGTCCTAGCTTCGCATCTGATTCCATTCTAGCTTCCTGCTACTGCATACCCTGGGATGCAGCAAGTAATGAATCAAGTGGATGAGTTCCTGCCACTCACATGGTAGATTTCAGTTTCCAGTCCTTTCCTCCCTCCCTCTCTACCTCCCTCTCCCTACCTCCTTCTCTCTCTCACTTCCCCTCTCCCCTCTTTTTCTAAAATAAATAGAATTTTTAAAAAAGAAAGAAAATGCATGAAGAAAACATGCTTGATATCAATCTAATAGGTAATTGATATCAATCTAATAGTGTCACATATTTAAAGTAAGAATACATGATGTTGTTGTAAAATAATGAGATTGATTTCCAAATGTAGTCCACACATACCTAATTGTGGATTATACTTTCGTAATGTGCATCAAGCAATAACTTTTTATGTTTACTAGGTTTGAAGGACTCACTGTAATATTTATACAAAATCTGATAAAATATGACATAATTCTAAAATTATATCAAATTCAGTTTTCTGATAGCAAGTTTATATGACAGAGATTTACTTTATATAACATTCTCTTTTGAAGAAAAATAAAACTGAAATGTAATGAGGGGAATTAAGTTTTCCAAATTCACATATCTGTTGAGTGATTGAGAAGGAATGAGATTCCATGTTTTCTGTTATGTAATTAATTTCTTGCCCTGTATTCATCTTGTACCATAATATACTTTAATTGCTTTTTTTTTTTTTTTTTGACAGGCAGAGACAGAGTGGACAGCGAGAGAGACAGAGAGAAAGGTCCTCCTTTGCCGTTGGTTCACCGTCCAATGGCCGCCACGGCCGGCACGCTGCGGCCAGCGCACCGCGCTGATCCGATGGCAGGACCCAGGTACTTATCCTGGTCTCCCATGGGGTGCAGGGCTCAAGCACTTGGGCCATCCTCCACTGCACTCCCTGGCCACAGCAGAGAGCTGGCCTGGAAGAGGGGCAACCGGGACAGAATCCGGCACCCCGACCAGGACTACAACCCGGTGTGCTGGTGCCACAAGGCGGAGGATTAGCCTAGTGAGCCACGGCGCCAGCCCTTTAATTGCTTTTTAAAAAATAATGTTGTCCAGGTGGCTGGCGCTGTGGCATAGTGGGTTAAAGCCTTGGTATATAGCACAGTATCAAATTTGGGTGTTGGTTCAAGTCCTGGCTGCTCCACTTCTGATCTAGTTCCCTGCTAGTATGCCTGGGAAAGCTGCAGAGGATGGCCCAGTCCTTGGGTCCCTGCACCCACATGGGAGACCTAGAAGACTCGTGGCTCCTGCCTTTGGATCAGCTCAGCTCTGGCTGTTGTGGCCATTTAAGGAGTAAACCAGCAGATGGAAGACCTTACTCTCTTTCTAATAAATAAATCTTTTAAAAAAAAATAAAATTGTTCAGATTCCAGATGCAGTGAGAGGAAATCTATACTTTGGATGTGCTCTGCTTTTTCTTCCTTATAAATGTCTAAATAGTAGCTAAACTCCTCTTGTCATGGAGTTTAGGGACATTTATAAACTGGCTTGGATGTAGGATTTGATTTAAGCTTTGAACAGTGAGTAAAATTCAGGCAAATCAAGGCACGAAAAATAGGTTTGAAGAATAGGGTTGAACTCTCTCAGGGCTAATAAGCCTAATCACCAGACAGACTGCCTCCAACTTCAGAAAGTTCAACTTAAGATGTGTCGACTTTTATGATGGTGCAAAAGCAACATGCCTTCAGTAGAAAGCATAGTCCATATTCTGACTTTTGATCTTTTCCAGTGCTAGCAAGGTAACAGGACCCTTTCTCAGGATACTGGACAGAGGGCACTCCCAGGCATCCAGGTGATCACCAAGGGTAAACAATGTTTACAGGGTGCTATATTGGTAAGTTACTATATTCACTGCATTAGGTTTGTTAACTGCAACTTCCACTTAAGATACTTTCAATTTACTATGGCTTTATTAGGACATAACCTCTTCAAAAGAGCATCTGTACACATAAAAGAGGTTAGCTACAAAGCCTGGAGAAAAGAACTCCAACAGAAAGAAGTGGTCATCAAAGAAGGATGTACTTTACTCTGAATGGAAGAGAGAACTTCCACTTTGCCCATGGCCTTGTCTAAATTCTGAAGGAGTCAGTGGATTCAAAAGGCTTCCACATCCTAGGCAGCTCATGTCAAGAGCCTGGGCTGATCACTGACATCATACACAAGAGTGTTAATTGCTGAATTAACAACAGGAGTCCCTTAGAATTAACTTCCCATACAGGACCTCTCTCTTCAACGAGTTGGATTATGAGAGTTAATAGTAAAACTCGATTGCAAAGATCTACCTCACTTTAATGCATTAAGTGGAGGACATCATACATGTATCATAAGCTATAGTAATGTCTAAGTACTCGCAAAAGACACACCATTCTTGGTTCTTCTCCAAAGTTAACTCCTTCAAAAAATATATATAGATGGATAGATAAGTCAAACCTCAGAAAGGTTTACTTTATTGATTTATAAAGTACTTTCTTTTCCTATTGTAAAAACAATCCTTTTGGTGTTCTATTGCACAGTAGGGTAATAACACTTAGTAATAACATACTATACTTTTCTAAATAGCTAGAAGAAAGACTTCTGAATGTTCACACTACAAAGAAACCCTGAATATATGAAACAATGGATGCTAATTACCCTAATATCATTCAAGTGTATGCAAGTATCAGAATATTATGTTATACCCCATAAATATGTACAATTACTGTTGGTCAATAAATAAAAAAAATACAGTAAAAAAAATTGCTGAAGAGCAGATACTGGTTACAGGAAGAAAGAGTTGGCTTCAATGAATGGCTAAAGCACCAAAACCATTGGCAATGAAAGACTGTGTTACTTTTCCCAAGTCTGATTTTTTTCCGGTTGTATGTCTGATGCATATGAACTGCCAGGATTTAAGTACTCAGAGGTGAATGCACACTCCCTGTGGCTTCTCAACAAAGCTGATAGTCACATGTGGAATGGTGGTTTTTCCAGGAGGCAGGATGTGCTGCTTGATCTGTGGCTCGGCACACAATGCTAACTCAGGTCCCATGGAGTTGGCGTCCAGAGTTATTCTGGAATATAGCCAGAGCAGAAACTAGCATAACTCGCACCAATACAGGAAGGGAGCTAACGGTCACAGAATTAAGCAGAAACAACTCTTAGGAGGAAAAGAAATTGTGATATATTCATAGAGAAGGATTATGAGAATCTAACAACCAGATACAGGTTTAAGTAAAAAAAAAAAAAAGAAAGAAAAGAAAATGCTCACTTCACCTTTCTTTGCCCTCTGGTTCTACTTCTCTGTAAAGGCACCTGTGAGTGTTCAGAGTCCATCATTCACTTAGAGCAGACTGGACCCAACTGAAGCAGCTTCAGCTTCCCGGAGCAGCAGGGGCCCTCAGATGAGATCACAGACTCTCCAATGCCAGCATACAGCATGTGGACCAGCCTCAGAACTCAGGGACAGATCCAGGAGAAAGCAGGCCAGCAACTCAGGGATTTGAAGTGGTGCACAGCCCCACAGGGCAGGAGGAAATCCAGTGTACTCCACAACCAAATTACAAGGTAGAAAAGTTCAATTTACATAAATATGTGGATTAACTGATCTGAGAATTGGGTTCAATTGTCACCTTTGGGAAAATAAAATCTGTCATATTAATAACAAGGGTATTAAGATGATCCTGCTATTCAAATGCTAATCACAGTAAGGGCTTTTCTATGTGTTATCAAGCAAACTAAAACATTTTTTAAAATAGGAAGATTCTGCAAACTTCATAATACCTCCAGAGCCTTATTAAAAATGTTCACACATTTAAATAAAATTAAAGTCTTGCCTAATCACCTTAGGCAGCTATCTCTCATGTGAGGTGGCTCTCCACAGAGTAACATCTGAATAACCACACGTGGGAGATTCCACAGTCATTTATCTCTCAAGGCATTAAAGTTGTAGAATTCAGATGATTATCCATGTTCCAGTGATGCAGTGATTGAACGTCCACACTGAGTACCTACTCCCTTTATCCATGTACCTGTGCTGAAAACTAATGACACTCAAACACAAAACCCACCAAGAAGAACAGAATTGTATTTCTGATGGCAAGGCTGCCACGCCCTCTGACCTAAGCAGAATTATCAGTTTGTATTCAGAATCCTACAGGTAATTTGGAAATAAATGACAACTTCATTTTGCTTATAATTCTGGATCTTCACTACTCACAGCAACAAAGCAGAACTCAGTCCCGGATTCTGAGCTCATTAAAGATTAGCTTCAACCTTCCAGTCTGGGGATAAACTTTGTGAAGTATTCCACAAAGTTCTGTGGATTCATTGTATAACAGGTTATCAGTCAAGGTCATGAACACCAGCTGGGAAAGTACTGAATTCCTAACCTCTGAAGCTTAACATAATGGAGTCACATTCCCACCCACATTGCAGGCTAACTGGCTTTTCATCAGGTAAAATCCGGGTTCCTTCCATCTGTGTGGCAACCATATACGTGAGCCCTCTTTTATGTCCTCCCGTGGGTTGTGTACATTCAGTCAGAGAGCTGGTGAGAATGAGTATGGATGATACTATGAGTAAAAGAGAAAACAGGATTGGTGGGTGAGCTTTTGCTATATGGAGTTACAGATTTGCATTTAGCTTTTAAAAAAAGGAGTTCCAAAGCAGCACAAACGAATAATGGTAGAATATATTACAAGATTTCCAAGCAAAATAATTATATCAAAAAGGATAATCCTAAGGAAACATGTGCTTCACCTATCCATTTCCTGAGTCATGCACTTGCTTCTAGCTATACATTGAGAACCTGCTCTCTATCAGGGCTTGGGAGCTAAAGTGGAGCCTCTGCCACTCCATTCTCATGCCTATAGCACTGGTTACTGGAAGGAAGGGTGAATGTGTGTCAGGGAGGACAATCACAAAGGAATGATATATGGCAGAGTGACAACACAGATTGTTTTACAAAGGTTCTGGCTCTTCTAGTTTCATCTCTGCTTTTGCATTAGTTTCATAAATTCCTATAACAACACATTAGTTATCCTGGCCTCTCCAAAAAGTATGAGAATAAGGGAGTATTTTCCTAACTGGCACTAAAAGATGAAAACACATAAAATTAGGAGAATGGAAAATGAAATGTTACAAATCGTCTAGCTTGTGGCAAAAACACGAAGGCATTAATTTCCCTTCACCTAATGATTCGTTTGTGAGCATTTATCCTAAGGAAATTACTTAACAGAAGCAGAAAGTTCTATTAATCAACATGTTCATTACATTGTTAGCTACAGTAGAAACAAAAAAGAAAGAAAAAGAAATAGTCACAGTGCCTAAAACTAAACTTATATTTACTTGATGAGGTACGATAAACTCCTTAAAATGGTATTAATTTCTATATGAAAATGTTTGTCATTACCTTAATGCAAGTAGGCAATGTTTAACACACACAGAATATGAAAGCAATTGCTTCACTGAAATGGTGAAACTACACATAATTTCTTTATTCAAACATCTTTTTAAAAATTTGCTACATCAACTTCTCAGTAATTAAAACGTTTATACCATCTGCATGTGGGAGGCAAACATATAATTTATTATTCATTCTTTAAAAATGGCATTTTACATATCCACCAGCATTTAGTATCTAGAAGTTTCTATTTTTATTGGATGTTGTTCTTGCCCACTCCTTCATGGGGCCTTTTAATAGAATCCACACGTAAATCCTATCTTCCTATTGTTTCATCCCAGGATTTCCCCTCCAGAGGGATCAGATTCCTTTTGGCCCCCAAAGAGCTAAAAAAATAGAACAAAACACAACAAAACAAAACAAAAAACCCCACAGTGACAATAAGCGGACATCCATTTCCAAGAGTCATGATCTGTGGACTCTACTAAAATCCAGAGAATCCCTAAGCTCTGGGGGCACAAATAAGTTTTTTCCCCTGTTCTAAGTCATACTTGATTCAGGAAGGAAAGCTTATCTGACTGCTCCTCTTACTAATTGCAGAATTGGGGAATTTATTGAAAATTTCTGTACTTCAGTTATTTTATGATGTAAAAGAGAAGGAGAAGAAGAGGTGGAAAAGAGCGGAAGGAGCCTCATACAGATGGAATGAAGCTAAATGAGATAAAAATGCTATTTACATAAACCAATATATTTCATAAATACAACATATTTACACAGAATGGCATACTGTATGAGGTCAAAGTGATATTGAAAGAGGTTATGTGCCACTTATTAGTGTAAATTATGTAGAATCAATCAGTACGCTTCTCTTTTCTAAAAAAAATAATGTATTTCAGATGTTTTCTATTTCTTATCCACGCCAACCTGTGTTCTTGAACTCATCCTTTCCCGTCTTAAATGTCATTCCATATTTTTCTCTTTTTTCTTTACCTACTACTAGCCTACTTTAAGGATCTTCCCACCAAAGCTTATAAATATTCAGATCTTCACATTGTTTGAAAATCTACCCAACACTGTTTTAAAACCTCAGGCTAATCATCTTTCCTTCTTATTCCACTTTCAACTGAATTTCCAATTGTTTCTATCTGTTCTACTGTATTTGGTTGTCAATACACACCAGATTCTCAAGCCAAACCAATCCATTCAGTGTTTTCACTAAAGTTACCAATAAGCTTCATATCTATAAAGAATATTTTCATAGCTTGTATGATTCAATGTCTTAAACAATGAATTATTTTATATTGTGCACATTTATTTCCTTCTTTAGTTTTCAAAATGAATAGTTCCATAGCATCAACTGTTCTGTCGTTTTTTTCTATCTGCACTTAATATTAATATTCTAGCACTTCTCAGGTTTCCACTTCATTAACTAGTAAAACATTATCATCCCCATGATTTTGTCATTTAAATGGTGCTTCTCTCTCTCTCAAGAATTGCTCATTAGTCAACTCTATAATACTCTTGCTTCATTTCTAATGTTTATTTTGATATCTTCTGAAACTCAATCTACATCCCTGATCAGGCCCCTGAGCATCAAATTGACATAACATAGCACCTTTCACATATTGAAACTTAAGAAAAGTAAACAGACAATACCAGCCACAACATCCCAATGTTCCAAACATGCCTCAAAGGCCAAAATTAACCAAAAGAAAAATGTCAGAGGAGGACCAAAATCTTCCCTATGTTTCTAGTCTTTGTGATTGACTAGAGAATGCAGCCACTGACTCACACCAGGAATATGGGAATCACCAAACTTCATATGACCTATTTTTTCTGTTTTCTTCCTTCAATCCATTCGCAAATTCACTTACTGATATTTCCCAAATTCTTTCTCCTTACTTTTTGACGTCTGCAGCCTTAGTTCAGGTTTCTTTATTTCTTGCCTGAAATATTGCAGTCAACAGTCATCTAATTGATCTTTCCTGTGACTTCACTTTATCTTAAATCCACCATCCACACACTCACCAGGAAAACTGACTTACAACATAAATAAAAATTGCCATTTATTTTTCTCTTTAAAATGTTTAGAAGTCTTGAATACCTGCAGGATAATGTGACAGATTTTCCTCACACCATGACCTCTTCTAATACGTTTGTTTGTTGACCTTGTTATGAACTTTACCATTTACAAAAATTTTATTTTCTGTATTACAACACACTAGGTAATCAAAGACCTCAGTTTGATGATACTCCAGGCACCCATAAAAATAAACACAAGCAATATGAGTCAGAACCTTACTTCAACCATGGCCTCAAAGAATTTTTTAGAAGATAGTTTTTAAATTATGTCATAATAGTTAAAAGTTACAAAACATAGAGACATCATGAATGAGAGCACACAGATACAACAAATCCCAGAATCAGATGTGTAAATATCTAACTGTTTGAAGTATGAGATGTTGAACATAGAACGATAATGCTTAATATACCCAAAAGGAAATTTAAATGTAAGAAAATATAAAATGCCAGGGGTATTCCCCAAAAAGAACAAAATACGTCTTCCCAAAATAAAATTGGTAACATTAGAAATTTTGAGAACTAAATAAAAGTTAAAAGCAGATAAAACATGATTGAAGAGGTTACTTTTTTTTTTTTTTTTTTTTTTTTTTTTTTTTTTGACAGGCAGAGTGGACAGTGAGAGAGAGAGAGACAGAGAGAAAGGTCTTCCTTTGCCGATGGTTCACCCTCCAAGGGCCGCCACGGCCGGCGCACTGCGACCGGCGCACCGCGCTGATCCGATGGCAGGAGCCAGGTACTTATCCTGGTCTCCGATGGGGTGCAGGGCCCAAGCACTTGGGCCATCCTCCACTGCACTCCCTGGCCACAGCAGAGAGCTGGCCTGGAAGAGGGGCAACCGGGACAGAATCCGGCACCCCGACCGGGACTAGAACCCGGTGTGCCGGCGCCGCAAGGCGGAGGATTAGCCTAGTGAGCCGCGGCGCCGGCCTGAAGAGGTTACTTTTTAAGTTAACCAAAATGTAGCACCAAGAAATGGGAAATGAATTATGTTAGGAGTCATGAAAACAGAGGATGTCTCATATACATTTAATTTGATTCTAGAATCATAATAGATAAGAAGTCTAAGGAGCTATATTTCAAG